AATGAAAATGTGTGACATAAAATATACAGAGCAATGGATGGGAAGAGGTAGACAAAGTAGCTGACAAAGAAATGTGGGGTGTGGGTGTGTGTAAAAATATGGAGAATTTATTCCTAACTAATAGTGGCATAATTCTAGAGGTGTGCTCTACAGGACTCTCTAGGTGGTATTCAACTACGTTTTACTCAGAGTAAGCCAACTGAAATTAGTGAACATTACTAAGTTAGGTCCATGAATGTTAAACCCTGCTTTTCTATGAAAATGAATGAACAGAGCCAAAAATATATTTGAGATTAAGCATGATAAGTATAGCTGAACAGGTCATGCTATTTATTTATGCAAACTCTGAATAATGAGAGTGTGCCACAAACTGTACATACGCTTTGCCTTCTGTCTCTTACTTTCACACCCATCTGCTTAGGAAAGTTCTGCCTAGTTAGTTACCAAGCCATTGCTTTCAAAAACCTGAGGTAAGTTTTAATCTTCAAGTAAGAGCTCTTACATACAATCCTTGCTTGTATAAAGAAAACCAAGAATAAAATTCAATTTTATCATATGAGCTGTCACTCACAGGTTGTGTTTATTGGACATCACAATAAACCATGGAAATGAATCTGAGTATCCCTCGGTGTTATATCTGAACCTTATATTGCGGTTAATCTTAACCCTGTTTCGTTGAAACAAGATGCTTTGTAAACCACATGGCTCATTTGAAACAAACCATAGTTAAACACAGCTTGTCAGGTTTGGCTGGCACAACCTGTAGCTAATCAAAAATAGAAGTAAGTGCTTCTGAACTCCTGCACCAGAGGAGAAGAAGTTTGGAGGTGAGTATGTAAGTCTGGGAGAAGGCTGGGTTCATTCCCATCATACATCAGGGTTTACTGTAACATCCAAACACAGCCACTGCTTAAAGTGGTATAGCCCATAATAGATTTACCATGTCTTCTGTTGTACAATAACTAGACCCAAATCCCATGATTTCAATCAATTTATTATCAAATGTGCACTTAGAATAATTGCCTGATGTAACATGACCTCATTAATTTAATTAATGGAAACAGCCAGGCACAGTGAACAAAGTTACACTCCCATCATGATAAAAATGGTCCACAGCAAGAGGTGCTGCTCAGACTGCAGAATCCACATTTCCACACCTTTGGTCTATTTGACATTATGCTTCCTTTGCAAGCTTCAGGCATAAACCAACAGGAAAAAAAGCTGCATCATTTGATAATTTCCAATTTCCCATTGGTAAATGACTCCTGCTAGCTGCTAGCAAAATAACTGATAAAACCAAAGTATTCTTTTCTTCCTTTGCTAAGATATTAAGGTGACCTTTTAAAATGCATATAATATTTATGTGATAGAAGGATGCAATTAAGCAGGCCACTGTTATATACAAGTCACTTAAGGTATACTGAATTTAGTGAAGACCTAATTGTTGGCTCTTAAGAACTACAGAGCCTATTTTAAAATGAAATAAAACATAGTGAAGCAGGAAATAGAGAACTATTCAATCTTTATAAATTTAACATCCATGCTGAAGTAAACCACAATACATGCATGATAAACTAAGGAAGAGGAAGAAGACACAAGGGTTGTAACTTCTGGCTAAGGTTACAAGAATTTAAGAGAAGGAAAACAATGGCTGAAAAAAATCACTTGAGTCAGTAATTGAACTTAAGCAAACTCCTCAGACCAGAACTGCTCTAATAAGAACAAGCAAGTAGCACAAGACTCCAAAACAACAAGAAGATTAAATCAAAAGGAATAAATGAAAAGGAACTGTGGCATTTGAAAGAAAGGGACTGGGTTAGACTTCAGTAAAAGAAAAACCTTGTGTAACTTTTTAAAGAATATTCTTACTCCACAGAGACAGAATATGCAAAAGAGCATAAGGCATGCAAGCTTTGAATAACCCTTTCCTAAAGCACTGGGGTTGGAAAGCCCTAATACAATATTTTTCTCTGATTACAAACTTGGCCTATTAAGTTACAACACAGCTAACCCTCCTTCCTCTCCCCAATCCAGCATTAGGTGTCAGGGTCCCTGTACCTTTACCTTTAACCCCACCCTGGCATGTTCTGCATACAGCTCACTTAGAAAGATTAGTTTCACCTTTAACAGTCAAGTTGTCTGCAGCTTTCTTTTGACATCTAAGTAGTCAAAGCAACACAAGGCACTCTAAATTGGGGGACCTCATACAGATAATGCTTTTCCTTGGAGAAGCCCAGAATCTCTCTGAAGCACCCCGCTTTGGATTGAGATTCAGCTGAATCCACTGCACACCACTAACAGAGCTGTCATAACTTTTTCTGTCATCATACTTCAGCCTAAGTAGTCTGAGGCTATTTTATCAGTGGAAATGACTGGTCTCTTTTATCTGTTTTTAATATTGTATTTTAAATTGCTGTAAATTGCCCTGGGTAAGTTGGCATCTTTCAGGGAGGGTAAGAAATCTAATAAACAATAACACTAATACTGCTACTAATGATGATGATGATGAAAATTATAGTATAATTTTATTGTATACTAATGTTTTAGTATCTGTGAAGTGCTTGGCAATTTTGAAATGTTAAGGAGTATATAAATGATAATAAATAACAGCTGCTCAGATGTTACTAGCCCGGAGATGGAAAGAAGATTAAGCCCTACCAGAGAAGAATGGCAAACTAAGCTGTTGGAGTATGCTGAAGTGGCAAAACTGACCAGGAAGCTCAGGAACCAAGAAGACCAAAACTTTAATAAAGAATGGGGAAAATTTAGAATTCACTTGGGAGACCACTGCAAGCAGATGAAAACATTAGCAGGATTGCAGTAACACTTGTAATGTACCAAATCTTATGGACAAAATGGAGAGATATAAAATATGGATTACTGAATAATATGAAGTTGAAAAGGTTGACAATAAAACCCATGGAGAGGAAGGTGGAAAGTCCAGAGATTTGAAGAAATCTTTAAATATGGATATGTATTTTGTATTGTTATAATTCTATACATGTAAAATCAAATAAAAACATTTCTAAATAAATAAATAAAGGGATGCATTCAATTACAGAAATACCCACAGTTCATAGAAATTCACCAAAAATATTGGTTAATAATAATAATTTTATTATTTATACCGCACCCATCTGGCTTGGTTTCCCCAGCCACTCTGGATGGCTTACATATGTACAGTATATGGTTCCATATATTCTGTGTACTGTATTTGGGAAATATGTTCAGTTAGCACCCAGGCAATGCTATTCAAAGTCTTGGGAACATCACCTGCCTCTTAAGGAACATGACTCTCTCCCTCTTTCTTTCTCAATCTCTATATTAAACCTATGGCACTGGCTAAATTAATAAATTTGATCTGCTTCTCTTTTGACTCTTGCTGTACCTATTTTGTACTTTACAGGACTTCTGGTGTTCTGCTGTCATTGCTATTATTAGAGGGTTTTATTCATTAACAACACAGTGGCTTTACTTCAGGGGAAGTACCTAGAATTAAATGGTGTTTTGTTTTTTGTTTTTGAAAAGTGGCTAATAAATTGGAGAACAGACAAAATAAATAAAAATGACAGACTACCAGACAAGCAGTTCTTTTCTCTTTTTGCATGCTCCTCTCTTTGGCAGGGAGTGTCATGCGGAGATAACAGCAGCTCAAATGTGCTTGTGAGAAGTCATTCTAAGGCAGGGATGGGGAATCTCTTCATCCCAGCAGGCCAGAATTTTATCTCCCCAACCCTGGTGGGCCACATTTGACACCCACAAATCACCTGGCATCACTGTGACACCAGGTGATCGACAGGTAGGGGAGATAAAGATCTGCTGCGTGTCAGGAATTCAAAGCACTGTGCTGGGCTTACAGGTAGCCCTGCTTGGTGCTTTGAAGTACCACTGAGGCTGGGTGTAACTCCAAGCCTAATTTCTGCAGGGATTGGGGAGTTCACTGGATTGGCGTAGCTCAAAACCTGCTGTTCCAAGGAAAGAAAAAATGCTCCTTTTAAAAACTGGGCATTTTTTTCTTTACAAAGAAGCCTGCAAACCCGCTTGGGAAGTGCTGTGCAAGGAGACTTCCAAACTCTGTGCTTTGCACCAACTGATTGGTGTTTAGGAAGCACTGCAATGACAAACCTAGACAGCATCTTAAAAAGCAGAGACATCACCTTGCCAACAAAGGTCCGTATAGTAAAAGCCATGGTTTTCCCAGTAGTGATGTATGGAAGTGAGAGCTGGACCATAAAGAAGGCTGATCGCCAAAGAATTTATGCTTTTGAATTGTGGTGCTGGAGGAGACTCTTGAGAGTCCCATGGACTGCAAGAAGATCAAATTTATCCATTCTTAAGGAAATCAGCCCTGAGTGCTCACTGGAAGGACAGATCCTGAAGCTGAGGCTCCAATACTTTGGCCACCTCATGAGAAGAGAAGACTCCCTGGAAAAGACCCTGATGTTGGGAAAGATGGAGGGCACAAGTAGAAGGGGACGACAGAGGACGAGATGGTTGGACAGTGTTCTCGAAGCTACCAGCATGAGTTTGACCAAACTGCACGAGGCAGTGGAAGACAGGAGTGCCTGGCGTGCTCTGGGCCATGGGGTCACGAAGTGTCAGACACGACTAAACGACTAAACAACAACAAGAAGCAGAAGCAGCTTTGCAGGCACTGCCAACTGAGAGTGCAAAGCCCCATTCAGCTCAGTCCCACCTTTTCCTGCCCCTCATCTGGTGTCATCTATGGCGTCAGGTGTAGGGCAGGTGGGTTTGGCTTGCTCCAAATGACCTTGTGGGCTAAATAAGGCCTGGAGGTTCCCCAAACCACTGTTCAAAGGCATAGCATTGCTGCCTCTTTGTATAACAAAAATGAAGAATCTAAAATCGATTAAAACAATATACTTAATTTCCTCACCGGCTTGGTGCCTTAATACAATATCACCATAAAGCATTAAATGGACAATGTATTTTTATTGGTTTTCAGCAATGATTTACATAAGACACAGGTTTCCCCTTACCTGTGCTCCAACTCTCGGATGGACAGAATGACTCCCGAAGTCGACGCCTGCTGCTGTAGGGTGGCCAGAAATGTGAACTCACTTTTATTCCGGAACAACTGAATTAACTTCTCACTAGAATGGGGTGCTGCATGGATTTCTCTGTCTACAGCTAAAAAAAAAGTTGGGGGAGAGGAAGAGGAGGGGAAGAAGCATACTGTAAAAATGTTTACATCTGTAAAAGTAAGAAAATGCTTTTCATTTTTGTCTCCTGTAGATACACTCTTCACTCTGGGGGGGGGGGCTTGTGCCCTATGTGTGCTACTGCAGCAATCATGTATAAAAACAGAAAACATCATCTTTATCAGTGTGCCCCATTTGTCACACTGACAAGTTCACAATCAGACATGCACTGATTTTCTGACAAAGTTTCTGACAGGGGACGCTGAGCCATTCAGGTCTGCTGTGAGCAGATTACATTGCTGATTCATGAGGTGTGCCGAAACAAGATAATAAGCTCCCAAATTCAGAGGGTCTGGCTGGTCCCCGAGTCACTTGCTAAGCTCAAATTTCAATTTCACTACTGTCTCAGTTACTCTCTTTCCATAATACATCTAGAGAATCTGTCCTTGTAACATATGCGGGCAGAAATGCATTATTGGTAGCAATACTCCATCGACATACTTTTGACTCCCAAATGTATTTATTTTACTACACTGGCACACATAATATACTTACAGGAACAAGCATCATTTCTTGAACATCGCAGTTTAAACAAGCAATATGTAGATGTTCATGCAATATTTATTAGACCACAATCTAATGTTTAGAGATGCATCCCTATCCAAGCAGGAATAAGGCAACACTCCGGCATTCAACTTAAAGCCACATTTCCTTCAGGTCTTGTTAGTTAGGGATAGGAAAGGAGTAATGAAAACAACAGATGACATCTATATTAAAGAGAATGAATCACCCGCCCTCCAACCTACATTTCTATTTTGCTGTCTTGCAAAGCAACAACTCTGTCACATATTTTGAGGACTAGTGTCCATTAATTCCATTACTTGTTTTTAAAGCCACATGACATGACACAACAATCTAGATTTTTAAACATTATTATTATTAGGTTGCCCCAGCCACAAAACTAGATTTCTAATGACGGTTTTCTAATAAGTCCAGTCAGAGGCGACTGTGGGGTGCGGTGCTCCTCTTGCTTTTCAGGCTGAGGGAGCCAACGTTTGTCCACAGCTTTCCAGGTCATGTAGCCAGCATGACCAAACCGCTACTGGCACACAGAGGACTGTGACAAGTGCCAGAGTGTATGGAAATGCTGTATTCCTTCCTGCCGCACCTATTTATCTCCCTGCCCTGGTATGCTTTCAAATTGCTAGGTTAGCAGAAGCTGGGGCAAAGCAATGGGAGCTGACCCCACCGTTGTCCTAAAGACAAACTTGGGGTAACCTATGTGCTGTCCTCCAGATGTTGTGGACTATAATTAGCCATGAAGGGCACTATGTTGGCCTATGTGGCTATTTCCACATATCAGGAATATCACATGCCCCTGAATTCAACAGAAAACTTTGAACTACAACTGCTAACAGCAGTTTAAGGGCCAAACTAGATGTGCTATTAAATGGAGGGTTTCCTTTCAATGCAAGCAATAGCACCCAAAGAACTTGTTTTGTTAGGACCACAGAAGGGAAGGGAAGGGCTAAACGCCCTCCCCAACACTTGCTACAATCCTGATGATTATCACCAAACTCCAGCAGCTGCTAATTTTTTCTTTTTTATTAAACACTTTTAGGTACAAGATGCCCTAAGCAAGGCCATTTGAAATACTGAGCTCAACCTAAGAAGCAAAAATGCTACATGCAGAATTGTACAGTGGCTGCTCCCTTGGCTCCCAGATGTCATGCAAAGGGTCTCTGTTATATCTGGTACGGTGCTGGCTGGGGCTGATGGAAGCTGTGGTCCAATACATCTGGAAGGCACCAAGTTGGCCAAGTCTGCTTTAAATACACTGCTCAGAGATTTCTAAAACAGTAAGTGATTAATAAATGCTTTGAAATAAAGAAAGAGGCCTTCAACGAGCTAGGGAAAAAATAGGTGCCACCAAAAGTGCTCCATTCTTGAAATTCTGCATCTTCAGTTATCTATAATTTAGTTAGTCTCCAAGTCTCATTTCTCATGGGAAAATGAAATTCATTATGCAATAGCAGCCAAATTTCACGTATATATCAATGATTCCATTTCCAGCACAAAATTATACTAAGTAATGGAAGAAAGGGGAGAATCCTCATCTCCCTATTCCTTTCCTTGTAAATGATTGATGTATGTCCCTTAGCCATCAGATTTGATTACCCGCATTTTGAAGTGTAGCATGAATGTTATGAATGACATAAAATTACCTAATTCTTTCTAAACCCTAGCCTTGGGAGATGTCAATGCTTACATCAAAAAATGTCAATTAGTATTCAAATATATCCTTAAAAACACAAGAACTTCTTAATGAAAACCTTTCCACACTATCAACCATGTTTTAGCTTTTGCACAACACATACACAGGTACATTTGTTTCAATTTCAATTATGCAATATCCATATATAACTCACAGAGAGGTGGGGAGGAAGTCATGCAGATAAGAGCTGAAGGGTGGGGAAATGACAACAAGATAGCAGGCAGCCTGGTTGGGGTGGTAGGCAGATTAACCGTGGCAGCTAGCCTGTTTATGACACCATGGCAGCTAGCCCATACCATACCACATACTAGCATTATTCCAAATATGAGATAATTCTTTCATCAGAAACTTGTTTCCACTAGTGCAAAAAAAATCTTTAAGAGTATGCAACCAGCAGCTCAACAACCTGGACAAAGTGTAAATGGAGGTGGCTAACCTGTGGGCTATATATACCCTGCCAAAATATAGTTGTCTTTCTGAATACAACACATCCGAGATGGCTCACATTTTTAAAAATTCAATGCAGGAAAGCCTGTGAGTCTAACGAGATGTCAGCTCAACTGAAGCAAAACTTTGTTAGACAAAGTACACTCTTGTGGAATAAAATTGTAATAAATGCATATATGTTTCTCAATAAACAGATTGTGCACAAAGGCCCTGTAAATCCTCAATACCCATTTAATCACTTAAAATGATTTCTTTAAAATCTGTTACAGTTTTGCTCAACTACATTGTGGCAAGGTCCTTTGTACACTCACTTGTAAGTTACTATATCCAAGAGATACAGTAGTAGTAGCAAATGATAGTGTAGGATTTAAGTGCAACATTGGAGCAAAATGAATGACAGGCTGGCTTGATGTTTCAACATCAGTTAAATGTCAAGAGTTGACAGTGGTTTGTTCAGTTGTTGGAAAGTGTCTGAAAAACTTTTAGTGGCTTGTTGAAGAAGACGGCTCACCCCCCCTTTTGGGGGTGTGGTGGCGTGCAGGACAGCTAGTGACTCCCTCCCGCCAAATGCAGGAGAGCTGGGTGCTGGAGAGTGAGCTTCAACTCATGCTCCTGGCTTGAAGTCTGGCTCTGCGCCAGCCTGCTTAATTGGGCAATGGCAGGCTGGCTCGGAGGGCAGGACACACTCCGGGGGGCAGGCATGACAGAGCCATCAGGGGATTTAAACTGCCCCCCCCAGCACCCAGCTCTTCTCATTGGATCAACCCACCCACCCACTCCTTCAGCATTGCATTTCACATATTGATTGGCCTTGCTATGGCAACAGTGGTCACTGTATTCAGGGCTGAGTAGGAATTTGCCTATCAAGCGAATTGGCTATGGCCTGAGGGTTTTGCCTACCTCATAGCAATTGCCACAACTTGGGTGGTTTAGGCATTGGGTGACCTGAGTCTTGGATGGAGCCGGGGGGGGGGGGTCGTACCTTCGTCTTCCCCTCTAGAAATAGTGTATTCCGTTAAAGAGATCCGTGAAGGAGTCACTTCTGTCCATATGCCCATATAGGGGGGCTTGGGCTTCAATGCTCCTCTATGTGGCAATCCCTGCAGGGATACCCCTACTTGATGTAAGTCAGGGGTCAGCAACCTAAGGCCCATGGGCCAGAAGCAGCCTACGGAGGCCATTTAACTGGCCCATGAGCTGCCCCCAAACCGAGCAGCCCGTTCGGCGAGCCCCTGCGCACTGTGCTAAACTGGCGCAGCACAGTGCAGGGACTCTCTTCCGCGGCTCCAGAAATTGCTTCTGCGCATGCCCAGACACCAGAAATCGCTTCTGCGCAGGCGCAATTTTCGGCATCTGGGCATGTGCAGAAGTGATTACCAGAGCCGCGGAAATGCGGAGACGTGATTTCCGGTGTCACACTGCACTGGTCCAGCCCACGGAAGATCTCTGTGGGAATGATCCAGCCCATGCCCAGTAAGCCTTGCTGACCCCTGGTGTAAGTCATAGGAATCTCCACTGCAGGGTTGACTGTTCATGTCATTTTTGGCAGGTGGGCCAGAAATAAATGGTTACCCATTGCCTATGCTAAACCTCTTCAGCTATAGTCAATAAAGTTGTGGCCTGATTTGATCACATCTGATGGTGTGGTGTCATTTATTGATGGAGGAAGGGGGAGCACACAGCCTGGGCCTGCAAGAAAGATGGAAGTGACAAACACTCCAAAATCCTCGAATCACCAATGGATGATTTAAGGACAATGAAGCAACCCAGAACAAGTTACAACTCTGGCTAATCTAGGCTATTCTGCCAATGGCCTTTCCTCACACATGCTGTCATTTCAGATGCTACTTTCCAAGCAGTTCAGCCACAGCTGCTTCCAGGCATCCATAACTATCAGGGACACAACTCATCAGAAAGGTCTGCTATGCAGGTTTCGTTGAAATGCACTGAAATGTATTACCGTACTGGTGTGCAGCACCCATTCATTTTAAATAGGACTTTAAAAACTCTCCTGAAGATTGTGCCCTAAAGCAATGTTTTTGACAATGTACAGTAGTGGCACTTTATCCTACATATTTCAAAATTATATAGATAAAGCACAGTAATATAATATTACAACATAAAAGATTAGAGTTCCAACTCACTAGAGCATATGTAGTACTATTTCACCGCCATTCTGAACCACTGCCATGCAATGCACTTTGCAAGAGAACACATATTTGAAAGAGCTATTTCCAGGAAACACTGTGGTATTTCAGTGCATGTGC